AAGGCAAAAAAAAAAGAGATTAATTTAGGCTAGCTATTGCTTTACTTATAATCCAAAGATCACATACTTGAATTAAGTTTTCATTAAAATTACTCACAATACTAATTACACGTTTTTAAAATGAAGATACAAATTTAAGAACCCGGCGAGAAACTAAAGGCTCGGAATCAGTCGAATCTCCCCAAATATACAAAAGCTGATAAGTTTGTTGCTTTCCTTTTTTTTTTTTTTTACAAAGTTTTGTGACAGTTTCATAATCTGATTACAACTGGTGCAAGAATATTCAAGATCAGAATGCTTTACAATCAATACAGTCCCCGGAAAAATTATTAGACACACTTTAAGATTCCATGTAAAATCTTAATTATCCGGTGATACTTTATAGCTTTATTGTTTTAACACGGCTGAAACACGTTTGCACTTGCTTATGTTCGTGTATCAATTGGTTACCATTTGTAATGCAATACGTTAAAAATAAATACAAACAGGAAGTATACAAAAAATCTCCTGAATAAAAACCCATTACACGAATGTTTAAGAATAAAAGTATTGCATATAAACTCGTGCAAAACATGTCATTATTAACGTAACTACATTGCGTCGAATAATTTGATTGAATTATTATAATTTACTAATATAATTCCTGATATAATAAATATTCCATATTCATATAATCTAATCTATTTGCTTGTCGAATTTATACTATATGTCGTCTGATTTAACCAACTGATGCACGAATGCAAACCGGTTTCAGTCGCGTCAAAACAATAAAGCTGTATAGTATCACCCAGGAACTAAGATTTTACATAGAATCTTATAGTGCGTCTAATAATTTAGCCAAGGGCCTGTATAAGCAAAAGAAAATATGGCGGCAGAGAATCCTGCATCTGTACAGTGTATTTTCAGTACAGACATTTCACTCCTGGTGGAAGACGAAATGTACCGCTCTGAAGGGATAAATAGAAATAAAAACGCCAAGAATTGTAAATCTATCTTATGTACATAAATGTCAACAAGGCGAAGAGACTATATGTTCTGCAAGGTTGTGACACCTTGACCGTCCGTCAGTCAATATATAAACATGTGTACATAGTTATGTGAATGGCCATCATGTTGCAGATGAGCCACACGGTTGTGGTTCAGCAGGAATAACATCAGGGGCAGCGGCAGCAGCAATGGCGCCAGAGTCACATGCCTCGCTTCTCTCTGCTATAGAGCTATTACGCAAGTAAGAAGGAATCAATATGGAGTTGAGGGAGGGCTGAATTTTCAATTCTGTAATGAGAAAATAAAATATCATCTAAACATTGATTTATAAGAAATTCAATACAAAAACAATATAATAATATACAACTTTCTAAACTGAACAAATCATTCAGGCATATTTTTTTTTGCTTCTAAAAACTGGATGCGTAGCCAGATTTTTTAACAAAACAAAAGCACTTTTAAGTACTTTTTAAGCACTCAAAAAACATTTTAATAAAACTTTAAAGACATTTTCAAAAACTTTACATAATCATGATAAATTAACAGGGTGCGTAGCCAAATCTTTCAACAAAAAATAAGCACCTTTTAAGTACTTTCTAAGCACTCAAAAATATTTTTAAGCACTATATACATTAACAAAATGCAAAATAATATTCAAAGACCTTACATGATCATGATAAAATAACTAGTTTCTGACAAAGAACTCTTTTCTTGATTATATTCTCCTCCATAAAAAGATCGAGAGATTTTTCGGTTCAATCTCAGCAGGTGGAAAATGAAGTTTGAAATTGAGAATTTTTTGCAAAATGCAGCACATGAGGGCTAAAATCTAACCAACCTCTGCTCAGAAGACACACACGTGGACTTGCAAATATTTCACCAAACATGTAAAATAATTAGCGCTTTTATACGCTATGGACCTACGGTAAGTCGAAATGAATTGTGAAAACGTGGAATAGAATAACATGAAAAGCACGCTTTTGCATTAGACGTGTCGAAAATGGACACGGTGAAGAAAAATATCACATTTTTGAAAAGGGAAAATTAAGCACTTTTTAAAAACACCTAAGGAGAAAAAACCTTTAAGGGCTTATAAAAAACAAAAATAGAAAAAAAAAGCACCTTTAGGCACTTTTTAAAAACGCTACGCACCATGAATAACTAGTTTCTAGTAAATATTGCAGTGAAAATTGTAAAAATCATGAATTTTTTTGTAATTTAGAACGACAATCGCTATGGTATAGAAAAAATATCTTTTTAAAAGACAGAGAATTAAACACTTTTTACAAACTCTGAATAGAAAAAGCACTTTTAAGGGCTTTTAAAAATTGTAAATCAAAAATAGGCACCTTTAGAAAAAATCTTTACAATAATGAAATTACTTTTAAACCTGTATAACATTTAATAACTCGATAAACAAGTCTGGATTTAGAAGCACAAGCTTTAGTGTTTTAAAATAAAAATCAGGATATTTTTTGTACAATACATACACAACACAATTTTGAAGAAGGGGAAAAGAGCTAAAAAATATTGTATTTACTACTTTGAAAATTTTATTTTTTGTGGCATGTTTCTTTAATAATCCACAAATATTGAAAAGAAAAAAAAAACATGGGCAACATTGACCATTTTCTAATAAAAAAAAGAAAGTTGATATCAAACCAATTAAAAAAATGGTGCGATTTTATGCAGGTGTACTTATAGCGAGAAATTTTACATCCCAAATTTCGACTTCAGAAATGAATACAAAAATTCAACAAAATAAGTTTATAAGAAAATAGTTAACTATAGTTACTTTCATACAACAATAAATAACTTCAAAATTAAATCTTGCATAATCGACATACTAAAGAATAAAAGTATACAAAACTAAATAAGAAAATGTAATCTGGTAAAATAAATCAGAAAAATAAAAAGGAATGAAACTATTTTTTAAAGTAAATGGACATGAAAAGTACTATCGATTTCGCAATAAATGAAATGACAAGCAAAGAAATGAAAAAAAAAAAAATTTTTTTTCCCTCTGCCATGACATACAAGAGAAAAATATTTCTACTCAAAAAATGATACGATTATCTTTAACAACACCACTTGGAAGTCAGCACTTGGGCATATTAAGAAAAGCATTTAAACACTTAAAAAAAAAAAAAAAAAAAAAAAAATTTGAAACACGATTGACAACTTGAATAACAGAATTTTGCAATTTTTACTAGCATTATTAATCAGGGTGCGTATCCAAATCTCTTAAAAAAAAATAAGCACCCTTTAAGTACTCAAAAATATTTTTAAGCACTATATAACTTAACAAAATGCAAAACAATTTTCAAAGACTTTACATGATCATGATAAAATAACTAGTTTCTGACAAAGAACTCTTTTCTTGGTTATATTAGCCATTATAAAATGATCAAGAGATTTTTCAGTTCGATATAAGAGGGTGGAAAATGAAACCCAAAATTGAGTTGTACATGAGAGTGAAATAATCTCCCCAAACTCGAAAGTGTTTAATCAAACATGTAAAACGATTGGCATTTTCATACGTTATGGACCAACGGTACGCTTGAATAGATTGTGGTTGAATGAATTGTGAAAGCGTTGAATAGATAATGTGAAAAATACGCCTTTGCATAATATGTGGTGAAAATCAACACGTAAAAAAAATAATCTCATTTTCGAAGAGGGAAAATTAAACACATTTTAAAAACAGTGAAAAAAAGCAACTTTAAGGGCTTTTAAAAAATGATAATCAAAAATAAGCATCTTTAAACAGTTTAAAAAATGCTATGCACCATGTAAATTAAAATAAAAAAATTGCATTGAAAATCTTTGGTTTTGAAAATCTATTATTTTAAAACCCACACATGCATAACTAGAAATTCTGATGTTTTGAACATACAAAATAATTAGGAACATCAGCACAGTTACGAACCCTGGAGGCATCGTTCCCACTTTTGCATAAGTAAAAACCGTCTTAAATCAATATGTGTCAATTACTTGGACAAATTAAAACTCCAAAATTAAAGAATAATTATTTACCATGTTCAGTGAAATTAAAAAGTGGAGGAAGTTCACGATTATTGGGCAACCTAGTGCCTGGTTGTCGTAACTCGTCAAAAAACTTGTGAGAACAGGCTTGGAGAGGGGTGATGCGTGCCGATGGCGTGTATTCCAACAACTGAGAAACCAAATCAATAGCTTCAGGGGAAGTCCTGGCTCTGAACACCTGAAAATTTTTTTGACATTATTACAACAAAGTAATTCTTGGATATTTATCTAAAACAGTTACAGGAATGTTGAAAAAATGAGAAGGAAAACTGTTTTATCAGGAACTAAATCTCAAAAACTATTGAGATAGTTGCAAGATTTTTTTTTCACAACAAAACATCTAGACCAGGTTTGCGAAAAACCAACCTACCCTAATAAAACACACCCTAAAGTGGGTTTTTCTAAAATTGATTTCTCTTTTATCCTCTGTTATATTAAAGAGCTATTCTATTGAAATATATATGTAGTCTAGCATAATAAAATGAACCTATGGTGAAAGATAAGACTGTGTTTGGAGACTCACCTTGCTGACTAGATTTGACTGTATGGCTATTGATTAGTCAGTGTCGTTAATTCGCTTCATATATATATATAAAAAAAAAATTTCCTTAAATATTTTTTAAGATTAAAAAGTTTCAAATGTGTGATGTATGTGAGTACATATAACATTTTGTATCGTGATGTCAGGAGAAACTTTTTTCAGACTTTAGCACCAATTTATTTGTATTAATTACCTATATGTTAACTCAATTCATAAAATTAAACTTAATTATTAATATTAAAATAAACTTTTTTAAAAATAAGGTACTTAACCCTGCCCTCCCTTTGAAAAACAACCCCCCAAAAAACACGAAAAACCCAGAAAAGCACAACAAAACCCATCCGGGGTTGGGTGTTTACAGGAAAAAACCCGGTTTTTTTGCAACCCTGATTTTGGCTCACAATTGAAAAAATTTAATTAATTGAATTAAATAAAATTAATATAAGATGAAAATATTTTTCTTAAAGTCTGATTTTTATTGACATTGAAGCTTTTATCAGGAGAAATAATGCTAAATTATTTTATGTTTATAATAGAATGATAAATAAAAAAATAAAAAAAGAGACCATATGTGAATCAAAGCAGGGTTAACTGGTTTAAACCAAATGGTTTTTTGAGAGGAAAAAAAACCAAGCTTGTTTTCTATTTTTTTCAATATTTAAATTTTCTGTTATTTATGTAAAAGTTTTCAATTTGAATATAACCAAATTAAAAACAGATGAAGTTTTCTCACGAATTTAAGTTTAACTGCTAGTGGAAGCCTGCATTAATTCTTTCATAAAAATAAATCTGCAATTTTTAAATGCTTAAATAGAATAAAATTTCAAAAAATAATATGTATGCAAAATAAATTAATGTGAGCAAATTTAAGATAAAGTTGTAATGTTTCTTAAAAATGCTTACAATGCAATAGACTCTCACTAATTCCATGTTCTGTTAATTTTTAAAATCAGTTAAACCATGTAGTCATCAAAGGAGTTTAAGTTTTTCTAACTTTATTTTTATGAACTTGTTAAAAATACATAATGCTTGATACAATCAAAAATATAAATAGGAATGAGGTACATTTCTAATTTTCTTCCAGTTTAATTTCAAAATTATTTTCTGTTAAAAGTGTAAATAAACTTGTATTATATAGAAACAAACATATTTAGAATCTCAAGTCATCATCATATCATAGTAATCACATCTTTTTTATCATATTCACAAACTAATGGAGCAAAAATAAAAATTTTTGAATTATTTATTATATATATTTATCAATAATTAAAAAATGTTTTTGTGAAATGCCTTTGGGGCTTAAAAGGTTTATTTAACCTTTTGCTTTGCAACAAAAAAAAAAGAAAGTTAAATACATTAAAAAAAACAACTAATTGTTTTTTTTTNTTGGGGGGGGGGGGGGAGTGGAGATAGTTTTTTTCAACCCTATATAAAGGAGTCAGAAACTTTAAAATTATAATTTTCCATTAGTTGTATAAAACACAATTGAGAAGTTCTTTAAAATACATATTTTAGTTATGTCCATTTCGTTAATGTTAAATACATTCTTAAATTTATTAAATATGTAGTTTATGTACATAAATAATGAAAAAAGACTCGTTCCGCCAAGAGCTATTTAGAATAATCGTTTATTTTCCCTGTTTTAATGAATTTATTCCTTATATGAAATCTAACAAACAAATTTGGATCATGTTTTTACAAATTAACGAGAGGGAAATTCACTAGAAGAAAAAGAACTACAATTTTCTTTTATTCGCTGATTACTTTTAAATATTACACATTTATGTATTTTAGTTATAATATTGCTTTCAGATAATATAAAACATTACTAATACATTTTATCCGAGTTTTGATAGGCAAATGTTAAAAAATTGTAACAATAAAAAATTATTTCATTTAACCAAAAATTTTTTTACTCATAATTTTCACCAACTCTTTTCAGACTATTTAAAACCAGTTGTGTGATTGAATCGTAGATGACTTGGAGTAAAAATTTTTAATGGTATAAAAGCAAAATCCTATCATTTATTTAAATTTGTTGTAATGATTTCTTAAATGAAGCTTTAATAACTGGTACACTTAACTAAAACAACCAAGTTTCTAAAAAGTATAAAATTAAGAATTTCTTATTCAGAGAAATCAGTACAATTTTTGGTAAAAGCACTTGCATTTGATTAAACCTGGAGCAAGAGAATGAGAAGAAAATGGGATACAGTATAATATTAAAATAATAATTTTCTTTTGCAATTTGATTGAAAACTTTATTAAAATAAAAATACAAACCTTTTGCCAAGGATGAGCTTTAATCTGAGGAAATCTGAACTCAGTGTAATTCTTATTCATTTCTCTAATCTTTTCTTTAGTGGGAGTTCCTAGAACTTTGATGATTTCTACCAACTGGTCTACCCCGCTATCCCCAGGAAATATGGGTTGTCCCAACAAAAGTTCAGCTAAAACACAGCCAGCTGACCAGACATCTAAAATATTAATTAGCAAAAATAATTTCCTTGAATTGAAAAAAAAACATAAAATAAAATTAACAGTTAATTCATAAAATATACAGCTAAAAATGTCTATTTAATTACAGCTCACACCAAGGTTCTTTTATAAAAGTTTCAGAATGTAATTTTAAGTTAAAAAACTAGTTTTTTTAAAAAGCAAATGTTTAATATAATTATGACAGAGAGAAATAGGTTAGATTTATTACAGAGAGAATATTTGAAGCTTAAGTCATGAACTTTTATAATAGTTATCAAATTCCAGTAATTTAATTAAATAAAAAAAAACTTTAATCATGTCCAATAACAAGCCTCATTGTTAATTTAAGCCTGAAAATCAGTGTTCATCAACCTTTTTATCACCGCGGACCAGTCAACGTTTAATAATTTTACCGTGGTCTGCTGGGGGGNGCTGGTGATGTGTGTGTGGGGGGGGGGGGACGTTGATTGTTTACATTTTAGATTATTTTAATCTTAATTGAATTGTATTTAAACATGCCATCAAAATAAAATACAGTTGCACCAAAATATAAATATAAAGTGATTTAACATTTTAACTTACTAGAACCTTAAATCAATGAGAACCCTGAGCTTGTTTCTTTGCAATGAGACGGTTCCATCTGGGGGTAATCGGAGACAATGATACATTACAAACATTAAAAAATTTATGTCACTACCTTCGGGGGCCACTCTTTTTAAATAAATAAAATTTTAATGGAACACAGATATTTTTAATTTGGGGTTTAAACCTAGGAATTTAAATTCCGTTTCAATGGAATGGGCGGCCTGGTGCCATTTGATCAACGGCCCGGTACCGGTTCGCGGAACAGGGTTGGGGAACACTGCTGTAAATGATATGAAAAAGGAAACATAAAATTTACAGAGGGAAAACTTCATCAACCAGGAGTTTGAGTAAAAATGCTAATAGAAATAGCAACATTAAATTTCTTACAGTATAAATAAAACAAATCAATTATGTAACAGATAAATTACGTTAATCACAATTTAATTATTAGTTTTATTCATTGCTTACATTAAAATGAAAATATGTAAAATAGTTTTCAATTAAATAATTTTTCGACACTTATGTATTTGCAACTGAAATGAAAGCATTATAATACAGTAGGGAACCGATTATACGGAACGATCGGGACCATCGTTATTCCGGATAACTGATTTTTCCGGTTTTCTGAATCGCTACAAAAAGCAGTTTTCTTTTATTGTTAAACCCAACTAAAAAAAAAATATTTGGAAATAATCTTGAAAAAACGAAGTAATACACTAATGATTATTTCCAAAATGATGGTAAGGTAAAAATCTTTCAAAAAAGAAAGAAAAATCCTAAAATCTTATGAGGAAAAAAACCCAACTTTTTTTAAAAATAGCGGGAAAATTTATCGAATTTTGTTCCGGTTTTTTGGTTTTCCGGATAACGGGTTCCGTACTGTACCATATATTTTGGTAGAATATACCCATAAATAACTAATTTACGTTTGCTACACTATAAACACTGTTAGATGTAAATAAAGAAAATTACATTGTAAGGGAATATAATAATGCAAATTAAGAATTAAGTATTTTAAACTTATTAGTATACATTANGACGGTTCCATCTGGGGGTAATCGGAAACAATGATACATTACAAACATTAAAAAATTTATGTCACTATCTTCGAGGGCCACTCTTTTTAAATAAATAAAATTTTAATGGAACACAGATATTTTTAATTTGGGGATTAAACCTAGGAATTTAAATTCCGTTTCAATGGAATGGGCGGCCCGGTGCCATTTGATCAACGGACCGGTACCGGTTCGCGGAACACTGCTGTAAATGATATGAAAAAGGAAACAAAATTTACAGAGGGAAAACTTCATCAACCAGGAGTTTGAGTAAAAATGCTAATAGAAATAGCAACATTAAATTTCTTACAGTATCATAAATAAATTATGTTAATCACAATTTAATTATTAGTTTCATTCATTGTTTACATTAAAATGAAAATATGTAAAATAGTTTTCAATTAAATAATTTTTCGATACTTATGTATTTGCAACTGAAATGAAAGCATTATAATACAGTAGGGAACCGATTATCCGGAACGATCGGGACCATCGTTATTCCGGATAACTGATTTTTCCGGTTTTCTGAATAGCTACAAAAAGCCGTTTTTTTATTGTTAAACCCAACTAAAAAAAAAAAATGTTTGGAAATAATCTTAAAAAGAAAAAACGATGAAGTAATACACTAATGATTATTTCCAAAATGATGGTAAGGTATCTTTCAAAAAAGAAAGAAAAATCCTAAAACCTCATGAGGAAAAAACCCCAACTTTTTTTAAAAATAGCGGGAAAATTTATCGAATTTCGTTCCGGTTTTTTGATTTTCCGGATAACGAGTTCTGTACTGTACCATATATTTTGGTAGAATATACCCATAAATAACTAATTTACGTTTGCTACACTATAAACACTGTTAGATGTAAATAAAGAAAATTACATTGTAAGGGAATATAATAATGCAAATTAAGAATTAAGTATTTTAAACTTATTAGTATACATTACATATTTATAATATACAATGCAAAGCATTTTGTACAATTTAGTTAAAAATAAAGTATTTCAGAATCTAAATTATAATTTTCAAAAATCTAAAAAATAATAACATAGTTAATTGCTATTCATGTAACATAATTAGTATAACTTGTCTAAGCTAAGAACTCCTCCTGCCACAAAATCTGAAGTAGCCTGGTGCTACGGAAACAAGAATGGAGCATTTTCGGGAGGTTCGCTTCGCATTAAAACTAACACAATAGATTGAAGAAATATATTCCCTTTCTCTTGCCGATCCGAGCCAAAACCACCCCTACTTGAAATAGTCATATCTCATTACCATAGTCACTGCCATAGGTCCAGACGAATATCGGGAGGAGTTCTTATTTTAGACAAACTATATATTCCCTTTTATATATTTTTCAAAGGGTTTCTTTTAATAAATTTTTGTGAATTTCGCAAAAATATTTAGAAAGTAACTATTTTCTGAGAAGAAAATTAAAATGCAGGAAAAATTTACAAACCAATCATTGTTGTGTAGTCAGTAGCACCAAATATCAGTTCTGGAGCTCTATAATAACGGGAACAAATATATGCCACATTTGGTTCACCTTTAATTAGATGTTTAGCACTAAAAAATAAAAAAAGTATATTTAACATTTCAAATTTGATAAATAACATTTTTTAGAGAGTACAATAGTTTAGAAACAAATTAAAATAACATGTTACAGTTGTTATGCTACAGAATATCTTGTAACAGAAGCAACAGCTATACCAGATATGCCTATTGCTAAAAACAGGAGAAACTTATCACTTTAGCAAATCATTGGTTAATTTGAACTAAGCTGTTACTACTAAGAACAGCTGTTTTACACTTTCATCTACATAGATGGGGAAAAAAACGAGTAGATTTTACACATGGGGAACTTTAGGGATTTTTATGGACATCAAAATAGAAAAACTTTATTATTTTCCAGTTATGATTAATATTAAATGAACTTGAAATGTTGCGCATTATGTTTACTAGTAATTTTGAATAGTAATAAGCATTTAATTCAAAGATAGTTAAAAGATTTTTAATTAATTATAAAAGGGAGTTCTGAATAAAAAAAACAATTTTAGAACAAAAAAGTTTTAAACTGACTTTTATAAACGAGGCTCGCTTCATTATGTATTGATAACACTCATTTAAATATTCAAGCAAGTAATAATCTGTGCAAAAATTCTATTTCAATAGGGAAACTTACTCAATTTCAGGGAATTTTTAAAAATTAATAAAGAAAAAAAAAAAAAAAAAAAAAAAAAAAAAAAAAAAAAANTTAGCCTTAAAAAAAAAAAAAAAAAAAAAACAGGAAATTTTTTATCAAACTGGTAAATCAGGAGAAACTCGAATCCAAAATCCAGTAGAGTTGGCAGCTATGCATCGAGTATTTTTTAGCACAACTTTGGAAATAACATGCTATCTTCCAAACAGATATGATTCAAAAAAATAAATAAAATAAAAAATAGCTATTACAGAAAATATGTATTAGAGTAATACAGGAAGGGGTGGATTACCCATTAGGCCCAACTAGGCCATGGCCTAGGGCCCCCTTAAAAAAATTTTTTTTGAAAATAAATTTAAAAAATTAAGAAAAACAATGATTTTTTAAAAATAAAATCAATTTCAAATATATATTAATAAAATACAAAAATTTTTTTGGTTCGAATTTAACAAAATAAAGTAAAATTTAATTTATTATTATTTACTTTAATTTTAAATATGCTTTCTTAAATTAGAAGATATATGTGCCGAATTAATTTGCACAAGACGCTTTGGCGCGCATTCCAATGTAAAAGGAGCGAAGTAAGCAGCTACCGGCTGCCTCCCCTAAGTTTGTTGTAATACAGTAGTTGTAGTCGTGTTTGTCATGTAAAAGGATTGCCTGCGGTCTTCCGCAGCTTGTGTGAACTTACCTCCGTTATGTAAATAAATGTTATTATTATTATAGTTCATCGTAGTTCAATTCGTCGTAATCGTGCACAATATATAAATACTTAAATATTTTAACAAATAAAAAATATACGAGAAAAAAAAATTTAATCTAAGGGCCCCAAAAATTTGAATGGCCTAGGGCCCCGTGTGCGCTTAATCTGCCCCTGAATACAGGGTGCATAGCAAAACCTTTCAACTAAAAATAAGCACTAAAAAAATATTTTTTAAGCACTATATACATTACCAAAATGCAAAATAATTTTCAAAGACATGATCAAGATAAAATAACTAGTTTCTGACAAAGAACTCTTTTTTTATTGATTATATTAGCCATTACAAAATGAGCGAGAGATTTTTCGGTTCGGTATCAGAGGGTGGAAAATGAAGTGTAATTGGCGCTTTTATATGCTATGAACCGGCAGTAAGCCGTAACAGATTGTGGTTGAATAAATTGTGAAAACATTGAATAGAATAATGTGGAAAGCACGCTTTTGCAAAATATAACACAAAAATTGACATAGTAAAGAAAAAATCTCAATTTTGAAAAGGGAAAATTAAGCACTTTTTAAAAACATCCAATGAAAAAAGCACCTTTAAGAGATTTTCAATAACGAAAATAAACACCTTTAAGCACTTTTTAAAAATGCTATTTTAATTTTTATTTAAACGGCATTATTATTATTTTTTTAAAAACGCAAATTTAAGGGCACTGCTTACAAACTATTAAATTATATTTTTTATAACTATTGAAGCCTTAAATGGAGTTTCGAAGTAAATTGGTTTATTACTTAATGCAGTAAAAAATTAAGACATACCTCCCAAAGTCACATAACTTTAGAACACCAGATTCAGTATCGACTAAAAGGTTTTGTGGTTTAATATCACGATGGCAAATTCCAAGGGAATGAATATAGGCTAAACTCCTAAACAATTGGTACATATAGAGCTGAAAAAGAAGAAGCAATTCAATGTAAGACTCTAGATCAATTCATAGAAAGAAATTTTGAGGACATAGTTGGAGTGATCAACAATCGTGAGAAGAAAAGATTGAAACCAAGAGTATTTTATAGGTTCCAGTTTCTCTGATAATTAAATTTTGTTTTAACCTTAGAGGGCATATGTGTATATATTTCTGTAGCTAATTATTCAATGAATTAAAATATTCTTATTTTTATATTTACTCTATCAATTCTTTGGCAGACAAATAATTGTAGCTTAATTATTAATGAAATATAGACAGGGTTGCCACGGAATAAAATGAACAAAATAGTTGCTTTTAGGAGGCTAAAGCATGAAAACAGTTGCCTAAATAAGAAAATAATTCATCAACAATATGACAAAAATTTTATTAAATGACTTAATTATTATATACTGATCCCTTTAGTCAAGTTGGTGGCAAATATAATAATTTTTATATAAACACTAGTGTTCTAGCACTATATTTTTAAATAAAAAAATTAGTATATTTACAGAAAATTAAAAACTTTTTTATTCCTGGAATTCATTAAAAAAATACTTTTTCATTAAGTTTTTATAAACACACTTTTACTAAAATTTTTTCCCCTTTTATCAATAATTGATTTAGCATATATATATAT